CTAAACCGCAAACCCCAAAACTGTTTGTAGACCCTAAACCCTAAACCCCAGCCCCTAAGCCCCTGAAAAAGCCGCCAATGAAAATGTGTATTGGCCAGGTGCAGCTAAAAGCCGGGTTCATCCAGGCTTCCCGGCCGAAGAAGGGCTGCCTTTTTGCAGTTTACGGGGTCTAACATCCAATAATTACCAGCACTCTTTGAGGGGGTTCCGTATTATAATTATGGTCTAATATACCACAAAACCCAATTCTAAATTATTAATTTCCCTTTTAGGGCTCGAGATCGCCAGCGAGCGCTGGAACATTCACAACCCCAGCACCAAAGGTGCGACCGCTTTAGGTTCGTGCGTCGCCAGTGTGCTGCATCCTACCTCCCCTGCCTGGCATCGTAGAGCCCTTTTCTTGCGCTCTCGGGCTCGTCAGGCATTGCCGGCTGGAAAGGCCAGGTCGCACCAGGCTACTGGACCTCAGGAACGACGACTTCTTGCTTCTCAGCGACCAGATTTGGGGCGTGGAGGCAAGAACAACCCACGGACAAAGGCGTCCGCGAAAGACAGCGTCGACGGGGCTGGGTGTCATTGGAACCTCTGGCGTGGTGCGCAGTCGCCATCGCAGCGTCCCTGGCGTGCTCAGGGAGGTGGTTGGGCAGCGAAAGCTGCGGCCACTTTTCCCACATACCAAGCTATGCCGACGGAAGGTGCAGACTCTGCCTAATCATAATCTAAAGTCTTAAATAATTACCAATACTATTTTGGGGGCTCCTTATTATTTTAGTTATAGTATAATATACCCCAAAAGCCTATTCTAATTCTTATTATGATTATAGAGTAGAATATAACCCAAAACCGCATGTTCTAAGACTTAAGGCCCTTTTTAACATCTTTAGGGCCAAGGTCCCGGGTTTTGGGGCTCAGCTTCTGATACTTAGGGGCTGAGTAGGTAACCTTTAACCTTTTTGAGCTTGTGTGATCCTACTATAACTATAATTCAAAAGGAAATTTTTGTGATCCTACTATAACTATAATTTAAAAGGTTAATTTTTTGGGGCTGAGGTACTCAGCCCCTGGGGGTTCTACGTGCTCGCAATTCGAGGTTGCTTACACGGTTCTTCTGCGCTGAGTCCCTAGTACTTAGTACCTCTATTTGGGGAACTTAGCCAAAGACAGGGATTGGGGGTTTATGTAGGTCTTGTAGGGATTGTAGGGCTTGAGGGTGGCGGTCCGGGGTTTAAGGTTTAAGTTTTAAGGTGTCGGGGCTTATAGGGCTGCGATCAATATAGAGGTCTACCTCACCCTAAACCCCTGAACCCTAAACCCTAAATCCTGAACCCTGAACCCTAAACCCTATCATGTCCTTTACAAACAAATCTTTTCCGCCCCAAAAGTGCCTTTTCTACTCATCCAGGCCCTTTTGCGAAACTTATAGAGGCGCCTCTAGCAGGGGCTGATTGAACCCGTCAAGGGACCCTGACAAGGAGTCCTATTCTAACGATTCTCGCAGCTTTTTAGGCAGTTGGTGTTGAGGTGCTAGGTCGGGGTCCAATCCGAGCAGGCCCCTTATGGGTCTAGGGTGTAGCTACATGCAACTTGTTGCTATTGTTGAGTATGATTATTTTTACTTCGATCAGAGAGATTGCCATTAGTGCTACTGTTTTATTCTGATGATTGGGCTTAGTCTTGTGTTTAGTACTGTTCTAATTCGCTCATTTATGAGTGTTATGATTGTTATTCGTATTCGTCGTCTTATTTCGTCGGTGTTAATCTTATTCTTATTCTTGGTGCTGTCCTTATTATTAGTGTTCTTGCTGTCTGTGTCTATCATAATCTATATATATATATATATGTGTGTGTGTGTGTTTACATATTATATATATAGATAGGTAGATAGATACATAGATAGATAGATAAACAGATATATACATGACACTTATATATATATATGTATATTATACATACATACATACATACATACATACATACATACATACATACATACATGTCTCTGTGTGTGCGTGTATGTATGTATGTA